GGAGCTTGATATACATCCAGCAAACCGAATACTCATAGGAATTTGTGTTCCGATCTGATGTACTCAGTTCTAAGCGTCACTTTAGACTTTCATAGTTAGTTGTGGTACACATAAACACTTAATCAAAGTACTTAATAATCCGAGAAATCTTTTATTGAGTTGGTAGGCCATAACAGTTTATCTATGAGCATGAGCCATTTTTGGCTATTTTCTGTTGGCATCATGAGTTTTTCAGACCTACTTGCATAAATCTCTGTGTACACAAATCCAAACAAGCCAGCGTCATAACGACATTTTTTATACCTTTATTTTCTTTAGTACTGTACTTAAAGTGGCCCTTTTACCGATTATACACATCAAATTGTTTTACTTGTCAGGAGGAGCTCTATTTAAAAAAAACTTAAGCTAACTATAGTGCAGCTTTATAGCGGTAGATATTGTCTTCCCTCTGTATAGGACATTGCTAAACCAAGATACTAGCAAAAAATTTGTCGTAAATAACCATTTAGGTTTTTACATACAATTTTAGGCTATGGCCATGTTCTCCATGGAGGCCAAGTGATCTAGGCACACTGAATTTGAGACTGTTATTTGTTGTAAAAGACTTATGCAAGATCCACATAAACCTTTATATATATATAAATTAAATAAATAAATTAGTGCTGACTCCAAACCTTTGAAGTGTCCATACCATATGGTCTTCGTCCATTACTCCATTATTTATATTCCTTTAGTCCGTAAGCGTCTACTGATCAAAAGAATCAAAGGTTTAAAGATTAATTCAAGTTCATGTAACATTTGTTGCTCACTGTCAAATTTGTTGAACAAACTCAGGAGAAGCATCAGACAGTATTTTCCATCTTTGCAGAGCAAGAGTTTTGTACTAAAGGAATTAAATGCTTGTCCCAAATAGATGCCTGTCCCCATTAAAGGGGCTATTATTAAAAGTTATTTTTAACTGAGACAATTCCTTTAGTATGGAAGTTGGCTCATGTTTTACGTTTGCACATAAGAAGAGAAAAAAGTGACCTAAACAACTATTGCTGTATTTCAAAACTGTCCTCTGTCTAAAAGCCTTGAATCATTATGTAACGTCCATTAGTTAGACACACAGTGTAATCCCCAATTTTTACAGCTTAACAATGTGTAGAGCTATACAGCCTAGTAGATTTTAGATGTTGATTAGTTTCACCAGCAGGGGTGCGCATTCATCCCACACAAACGCTGGCAGCACCCCTAGTTTCCTTGTTTTTTTTCTCTTTTCTCAGTTTTTTCCATGCACCGATGCAGACCAGAGCACCACATGAGAGACAAGCGAGTTTGATAAAGTTGATAACTGCCTGTAAAGTTGTTGAATTAAAAATTTTCAGTTCAGTTTGGAGGACTTCCGTACAAGAAAGAGGGGTTTTCCTTGCCAAACCTGACCGTGTGGATATTGATTATTATCGAGTGAAAACTCCGGTGAGTAAATGCTATGAACGATTAGCGTAGCATGCTAGCGATGCCGCTCACGGCTAATTACTTGCTTTTTTATTGCTTGCTGATTTTATTGAATATGTCTCCACTGTGTATAGTTATGCTTCTGTGAAAGTGTTTAAAAAACAACTGGAGACAGATAAACATGTGTGTTGGGGTTGAAAAATTTTAGAAGGAATTTTAGATCTGGACTGGAAATGATGCTATTGGATTCAAGCGATCCATTTGT